CCCTAATACACATTGTTGATTAAGTTTCAACATATAAATTTGAGGGCAACTCAAATATTCAGGCTATAATAATCCTTCTGCTGAATTGTCTCACCAAAGAGATGAGGAAACTTGAATAAGGCACATAGCCCTTGTATTTGTCACTTGAATATGATCAGAGTAAAAACCAAAGGCCTAGGTATCTCTATAGTCTGGCCAGCCATTCCCTACTCTGTCCTCTGCTCACGCAGTCCCTACCCCAGTGTTTACTTGCTGGTCTTCAGCATATTGCAGAATTCTCCAGCCTCAGAGCCTTTGCACTGCCATCCCTTCAGACTGGACTGTTCTTCCCTGAGGAATCTACCTGTGTCATTCTCACATCTAGTTCTCAGGTGACACACCCTTCCATGCCTCCCCCTTTTGAATCCTTTATTCATTTATTCTTTATTTAATTTTTAAAATTGTCATATAATAGAGATATATTTTTCCCCCTTTAACCATTTTGATTGTAAAGGTACCATTTAAAATTGTAATACCTCGACCTGCTGGAACAGTCCTGAACCTTCTCAACCTGAGTTTTTTCCCCCTCATTCAGTGACCTATTTAAACACACTGTGCCAGTTTTTGATTGCTACTGTAATAAATTACATATATATATTCTTTCATCGTTCTAGAGATGTAAACACCAAACTCTCACAGGGTTATAATCAATAATCATTTCTTTGTAAGGCTGTATTCCTTCAGAAAACTCCAGAAAGAATATATTTCCTGACCTTTTCCTGATTCTAATCTTTAAGTCTATTGATGTGATGAATTCCAAAAACCTAAACAGAACACTGGACATCTTTTTATTGTTTTAAGTTTAGTTTTAATTTACACTTCTCTAATTGCTAGAGATGTTGGACATTTTTTCATATAGTTTTTGACCATTTGGATTTCTTCTTCTGTGAAGTGCCTGTTCATTTCCTTTGCCCATTTATCGATTTCGTTTTTTTAGTTTTTTGAGTTCTTTGTATACCCTGGAATATAATGCTCTATCTGAGGTACAAATGGAAAATATTTTCTCCCATTCTATAAGCTCTCTCTTCATGTTCTTAATTGTTGCCTTTACTTAGAAAAGGCTTTTTAGTTTAATGCCATCCCATTTATTGATTCTTGATTTTACTTCTTGTGCTTTAGGAGTCTTTTTGAGGAATTTGCTTCCTAAGCTGACATGATGAGAGTTGGGCCTACAATTTTTTCTACTAGGCACAGAGTCTCTGCTCTACTATCAAGGTCCTTGATGCACTTTGAGTTGCGTTTTGTGCAAAGTGAGAGATAGGGGGTCAATTTCATTCTGCTATGTATGGATTTCTAGTTTTCCCAGCACCATTTGTTGAAGAGGCTGTCTTTTCTCTAATTTATGTTCATGGTGCCTCTGTCTAGTATGAGATAACTGTATATATGTGGGTTTGTCTCTGTGTCTTCTATTCTGTTCTATATATTCCCTTCAAACTGGACTGTTCTTCATAAATGTTTTTATGCCAATACCATGCTGTTTTCATTACTACAGCTTTGTAGTACAATTCAAGGTCTGGTATTGTGATGCCTCCTGCTTCACTTTTCTCACTAAGGATTGCTTTAGCTATTCTGGGCCTCTTATTTTTCCAACTGAACTTTATGACTGCTTCTTCTATATCTATGAAAAATATCACTGGAATTTTAATAGGACTTGCATTAAATCTGTATAGGACTTTTGGTAGCATGGCTGTTTTGACAATATTAATTCTGCCTATCCAAGAACATGGAAGATTTTTTTCCATTTTCTAAGGTCTTCTTCAGTTTATTTCTTTAGTATTCTATGGTTTTCATGTTGGAGGACTTTTACCTCTTAGTTAGATTGATTCCCAAGTTTTTGTTTGTTCTTTTTTTTTTTTTAGGTTATTGTGAATGGGATAGTTTTCCTAATTTCTCTTTCAGCTGATTCATCATTGGTGTGTAGGAATGCAATTGATTTATGGGTGTTAATGTTAAACCCTCTTACTTTGCTGAATTCATTTATGACTTTTAGATACTTTTTGGTGGAGTTTTGGGGTCTTCTAAATGTAGAATCATGTCTTGGCAAATAGGAATAGTTTGAGCTCTTCTTTTCCTATTTATGTTCCTTTAATTTCTTTCTTTTCTCTAATTGCTTTGGCTAGGGTTTCAAGAACTATGTTGAATAGGAGTAGGAAAAAGAGGGCATCCCTGTATTGTTTCAGTTTTTAGAGTGAATGATTTCATTTTTTCCCCATTTAGAATGATGTTGGCCTTGGGTTTAGCATGGATAGTTTTTACAATGGTAAAGTATATTCCAATTATCCCTATTTTTCTACTGTTTTGAGCACAAATGGATGCTGATTTTTGTCAAATGCTTTTTCTGCATGTACTCACAGAATCATATGATTCTAGTCTTTAGGTCTATTGAATTACATTTATTGATTTCCACATGTTGAAACAACCTTGCATCACTAGAATGAACCCCATTTGATCATGATGCAATATCTTTTTAATATGTTTTGATATGCTACTTGCAATTATTTTATTAAGAATTTTTGCATGTATGTTCATCAGGTATATTGATCTGAAATTTTCTTCCCTTGAAGTGTCTTTGTCTGGTTTTGGTATCAAGATGATATTAGAGTCATAGAATGAGTTTGGAAGGTCCCTCTTCTTTCTTACTTCATGAAATAATTTGGTGTAAGTTCTTCTTTGAAGTTTTGGTAGATCTTGGCTAAGAGGCCCTCTGGTCCTAGGCTTTTCTTTGTTGATAGCATTTTGATGGTGTCTTCAATATCATTGTTTGAAATTGGTACATTCAAATTTTCTATGCCCTCCTGATTCAATTTAGTAGATCATATGTATCTAGAGATTTAAGACAGAAACTTTTGACAAACTGGTAAACTGTTTTCTTAAAAAAACTTCCTCCAATACCAGAGATCTTGAATAGCCTCCAGATCAATCATCCAGAAACATCTCTCCACATAATTGAAGAACTTGGCTTCCATTTTGGGAAGAGAAGGACCCTTTTGTACTTTCTTTCATTCTTGTTTTTATGCTTTGGCATAAGTGGGTCTTTGGTTTTTCAGGAGTTTTTCCCTGTGTTCTGGAGGATTCTTGACCTCTTGATCTTGGTGTCAGTGGTTTTTCATCTTCCCTGTTCTTATGTCATTGTTGTGCATTTTTAGCTGGAGAGTCACAAAGAGGTTTCCTCACGAGTGCTTTTATTTAGTTTCTTCATCAACAAAGTCATCATCTTTAGCAGCAACAAGTTTTACTGCTTTCTGTTGAACCTTGCTACTGCTTCTAGGGTCCAACTGCTTTCCAGATTCCTGAAGAACTTGACATCCTTCTGTGCTTCTGACCTGGGATCTTCCTCCACAGTGTGCACAGACCAGGAAGCACACTTCATATCAAGACCATACATGGTATAATTTTCAAGTCCCCAAGGGAAATTATTTACTGCACAGACATTTTTCAAAACTGCCACCATTGCCTTACTGGGACTGCCTTCATAATCCATTGCCTCTTCTTCAGCAAGGTGCAGTTCATCCTTTGCACCACCCATCAAAAGACCATTCTTAAAAATTACTTGTGTTCATTTTCATCATTATCCACCTGAAAGTGATCATCTTTGTCAGCCTCTATTTCTCAACCAAAGAGGTAATTCTGGGGCTCTAGGGCTTGTGTCTGTATTGACTGAATCTCTAATTGTGGGGTATTGAATGCAAATGGATCTCAGTCATTAAGAGGAAGGGTTTGAAAGGTTAGAGGTAATGGGACAGAGGAGAGTGAGGTTGGGAGAAAATACAGACTTGGGAAGAAAGCAGATAGCAAAAGAGGCAGGGAAAAGAGGAGAAGCAGTATGTAGAAGGAAGGAACTCATATAACCTCCAGCAAGCTCTGCTTCCCCTACAGAGACTGGGTATTCACAGTGAATTTTGTTTTTTAACATCTGCATTTCTAATTTTTAGAATTCTATTAATAAGTAATTCTGTTTTGCATTACCTGCTAACCATGCCTTTGACAACCTTTTTCTACATTGAATTTCAATAGACTGGTCCTTAGTCCTCCAATGGTAGGTTTGGGGCATGCCCACACCCAGGGGAAGAGGCATACCTGCACATGCCTGGCTAATTTTGCCTGTTTCTCTGATATTTATTCTCAATAGAATGTCTCCAGTATATTCCACTAGCTATCTTCTTTTGCTACTTCTGCTGCTAGTAGAAGCTTGGAAGACTGTGAGTCATGAGTGTTAGCAAGAACTGGTTAGGGGTTGGGTTTGTAGCTCAGTGGTAGAGCACTTGCCTTGCATGTGTGAGGTACTGGGTTTGATCCTCAGCACCAAATAAATAAATAAAATAAAGGTTTTGTGTCCATCTAAACTAAAAATAAAATAAAAAATAAAAAAAATAACTGGTTGGAAACAGGGAGAATAGATTGGGGCTCCATGCTGGGCACAGATAAGTGGATACGTCTTCTAAAGAATGGGGAAAGGGTGTGGTTTGGCTAGAGAGGTTCCCCGGAATCTGATAATCAGCTCATAGGGCTCCAGCCTAGGACACCAGACTAGGTTCTGTGCTCCTGTGTGGCAGCTCCCCTCTGCTGCCATGTTCCTGTATCTACTCCATGATGACCTCCTGAACACCAAGACCCATGATGAATTTGGCCTGTGATCTCTGATGCCTCCTTTTTCTCTCTATTGGAAATACTGACTGTTCAGCTAGGTTTTAAGTTTCAGGAGGACAGATACCATCTTGTATTTTTTGTACCCAGAACTTGGTAGAGGTCACTGAAAGTGCATTCAGATTTTCTCCTGGTACAACTGTGCCTGTGAGGGGTCCCTGATAGCATGAGAGCATCCTACAACCTCAGTTAAAGGTGACACCAAAATAAGGATCTAGAAGGTTGACGGGGTCTAGGATGAAGACTCTTCCCTCTGCCAGCTTGGCCCTTCAGAGGGAGTCTGGGAGTCACAGAAGGATGGGGAACTAATGGTCCTCTTCTCCCTGTCCTGAACCTCACTTCCATGTTTCTCTCACAGGTACCCACTCTCTTTGCCTCGACTTCACTGTCAAATCTCAGTCCAGACCTGGGGAGTCCTGGTGTGAAGTGCAGGGCTCAGTGGATAAGACCGCTTTCCTTCAGTATGACTGTGAGAGCAACAAGATCAAACCTTTGGGTCACCTGGGAAGGGAGGTAAATGCCACCAAAACATGGACACAATTGACCGAAATGCTGAGAGAACTGGGGCAAGATCTCAGGATGACCCTGCTTGACATGGACTTGGAAAAAAATAAGACCACGGGTAAGCATGGAATGGGGTGAAGAGATAGAGCAGGAGAGAGGAAGGGGTGGAGTGCGCATGTGGAGGAGGCTCTGGATGTGTTTGTGTAAAAGAGCTGGACATTGGCCCAGCCTTAGAGGGATGTGGGGCTTAATGGGCAAGAAAGGGCAAATCTGGGAGAAAAGAATACAGGCCTCTAAATGTGCAGAGAAACGCTCAACCTATTGGGAGGTGACGGATCTATCAAGAGTGGGAGATGATGCTTTTGTTGTGTATTGCAGGTCATCTCACCCTGCAGGCCACGATGTCTTGTCAGCTTGAAGGAAAAAATCACATTGGTTCATTCTGGAATTTCAGCATTGATGGACAGCCATCTCTCTGCTTAAATGTGATGCACATGGAGTGGACAGTGATTAATCCTAGAGCCCGGGGGATCAAGGAGAAGTGGGGGAATGACAAAGAACTGACAGAACGTTTAAGGAAGGTCTCCATGGGAGATTGCAATCACTGGCTCACGGGATTCTTAAAGTACCAGAAGGAAATGCCAGGTAGGGAGCTGAGTTATCATGATATAACTCAGCAGAGTGGGAAAGATGTGGAAGTTCTTTTTAAAAGTCTGATGACTTTCCTGTGGGGTGTGAGCATGTACATGTAATGGGAAATTTGTTGGGCTGAATGAATGACTGATTTCTTGATGGGCTTCCTGTCTGGATGGTGATAGCCATATGGATTTATGATCAGCCTCTTTTCCCATCTCACTTACCAAGTTTTCTTCATTATGTACAAGCCCCCACTGTCCATTAAACATTTATACAGTCATTAATGGTCTGATAACTAGTTCCCAGGTCTATATACATTTCTGTAAACTTCCAGGCCTTCTCTTCTTCCTGTGTTATAATTACCCTTCAACCAGCTCCAGTGTTAACTTCTTACGAAGCCTTCCCTACCTCCCCCAGACAAAATTAAGCATCACCAGTTGTTTCAACCTCCAAAATGTTATAAGTATGGTAAATATGCCAAATTGGATGGACATTTGCTGTCCCCTTCAGTAGTAATGTGAGCTCCATAAGGCCATGGCACAACGTCTGTAATCTCTGTATGCCCAGGACCTGGTAGAATTGTTGTCCCATAATGAGTCAATGAATATATAGTCCCATGGGCTGTATGGGATAACAGTGCCAAAGAATGGATATTTTTAAGTTTGACAAACATTTTTCTCTTGTTTTGTTTTAGCAACAACATCAACAGTCCCAGTTACCAGTGAGACTCCAAATAGCCCATCTACTTTAGTGACCAACGTAGTGGCCATGATTGGCCTAATCTTCATTGTCATTGTTGTCGTCATCACTGCTGTTGCAGTTGTTGTGGTCTTTGTAGTCACCATCGTTGTCATCATCAGCAAGATCTTCACATTCTGTAGCAAATAACAGACACCATGAAAAGTGAGGAATAGGCTGTCCTCTGGCCTTTGGGTGGCGCTGTCTCAGTCTGGTAGGGCCTTGGGACAGGCGTTCCACCAGTTTCACCCAAGCCCCTGGCCACTGATATCTCTCCACAGAAATGATGCCCTTCCTTAGCCTTGAGCACTGTGCACTCCACAGTAGTGCTGGAATGACTGCTGCTGAGTAGAGGAGGCCACTGTAGGTAGCACAGCAGTGCAGTGAGTGGAGGGACACACAGGAGTCTCCTCCTGAGTGGGACAGTGCCTGAGATCTGGAGAATCTGGGAGGGTGTTGGCTCCAGATCTTTGGTTGAGGAGTTATTTGCTCTCTAGGATAATATAACATAGGCTAATAATTTTCCTTAATGTTGTAGAAGCTGTTCCATCATCTACTATGTCTTCTGTGGACCATGGGAAGGCAACATCATCAGACCAACCTTTGGTGGCAAGAAGTGTCCTTAGATGACAGTCTCTACTCTGCCACTCTTTCCAACAAACTTTTCTCCATTTGAGTGAAACTGGAAAGGCTGTGGACATGTTCCTTATTTGTAGAGGAAGATGAATTAAAAGGATATTTATCTTGGTTTAATGAGGTTCATTTATGTATTCACACTTTTTTATATAATTAAGATACTGATGGACAGAAACCACAGGTAAACTGTGCTAACTCACTAGATATTATGACTCAAACGATTAAGGCCACAGAGTGAAGTGACATATGAATATCTTAACATGTCCTATGAAACCTGGAACAATAGAAAGGATAAAGTGTGACATGTTTGTAGCTGTAACAGTTATCTTGTAAAAAACATGGATGATTCCCATAGATTGGATCTATGACTATCTTAGATCCAATTTTCATAGATAGGAGGAACACACCAGACACAAAAGAATCAATACTTTATGATTCAATTTATCTACATTTTTAAAACAGACAAAACTAATCCTTAGTAATAAAAGTCAAAATATTGGGATAGGTGGTGGTCAAGATAGCAGTTTAGAGGAAGGCTGCATTCCTAGTGTCTCCATGGCTTGGGATTCAAGCAGCAGGAATACTGCTTCTCTGAGTGGTGGGTAAAAGATGGATTTCACTAAAACTCAATATTGGACACTCACAGTGTCTTAGAGACTCAGAAGTTTGAGTATGTAAAACAAAGAAGAAAGACTACATTGGAGCCAAGCTGATGTTGCAGCAACAGTATCGGTACCAGTTTAGGACAAAGGGAGTGATATCACAGAGAAACACAATGGACAGATATAGTACAGAAAAATCTGAGATCAGAAAATGACCTGATGCAGAGGCTGCACTGTGCAATGGTATTTGAAGTGTCCTCTTTCTCAGCTGGCCATAGAGAGCTGAGGTGGACCCATCTTGAAGCAGCCATGCTTCAGCCAGTTCTTTAGGAGCCACGAGATCTGATCAAGTACTGTCACACTGTCCCAGCAAGCACTTAACCCTACATTCTAGGATGTACATAGCAGAGCAGGGGTGAAATAGGCATAGAGAAGATTGTACCTAGGGGAATTCAAGTCAGAAAAAAGAAAAGAATTCTCCTTTGAGTCTGGTGGTTCACATGACCAGCTGAAGCAAGTCGGGAATTTGAACAGGCAGGTGTGAGTACACTCAGGGACCAAGGCCAGGAAGTCTGTATTCATGGGCAGCAGACTAGAGGACTGGCTCCCTTTTCCCACGAGTAGAATTCATGGGAGGCTCCTGAGATCCAGACTTCCAGCAGAGATGGACATCTTCCAGGCCCTAGGGGTATGTTGTTCTAAACCTTCCAGAGGAGATACCTAAGCTCCACCCACAAGATGTCCCCTCATAGAATTCTGTCTCAACTGCACCCTGGGGATGCATTGATCTGGTCTATGCAGACAAAATTCCAACTGACAGCAATTTCAATCCTATCCTACCTCATCTTGGGGAGAAGAGAGGCTGAGAATTATTTGACCCAGCTTCAGTTTTAGTTCACTCCAACTGGCAGCTTGGTGAGCCATACAACAAGAGGAATAGGTTAACAACCCCTACTTCTTGCTCTGGCACTCAAGAAGAAATGGAAAGAAGGACAGTAGGGCACAGACAGTGACTGTCCATTCTCGTCAACTGTTTTGACCACTTCAGTAGAAAAACTCCCTTCATTTTTCATTAAGAACCTTTTTTATATTTTTCTTTCTTTTTTTATGTGTGTGTGTGCATATTGCTGTGCTGACTGGTTCATGGACATATATGCATATATATTTGTTTCTTTTTTCCATTTTTAGTACTTTTTTAAATACTAGTAGTATTGAAAACTACTAGTATTTTTAATACTATTTTAATATATTTAAATATATTTAATATATATTTAAAATATATTTAATATATTTTGGGGTTTCTTGTTTGTTTGTTTTTGTTTTGCACTAGGGATTGAACTCAGGGGCACTTGACCACTGAGCCACATTCCAGCCCTAATTTGTATTTTATTTAGATATAGGGTCTCCCTGAGTTCCTCAGCACCTCACTTTTGCTTAATCTGGCTTTAAACTCGCCATCCTCCTGTCTCAGCCTCCCAGTCCACTGGGATTACAGGCGTGTACCACTGTGCCCGACTATATTTTGGTTTTGGTTTATATTGTTTTATTTTTCTCTTGTTTCTCTTTTGAAGTTTAGGACTTGGAGTTTATATATTCTTGTTTCTCTTTCCCTTTTATCATGCTCACAGCCAAATTCTATTTTTCTTTTTTTTTTCACTCTCCCTTTACTTTGTTACCTCTACTTTTTATCCCTTTTCCTTATAATCATCACCTGCTGCATCTCTTCTGCATTCTTTCTGTTAGCTTTTTGAAATTATTAACTCTTTTCTACCTTCCCATCACATTGACATTTCTTTTAATTAACTTTATTCTTACCATCTTTTACAACAAATTGGTTTATATAGCTCCTGCCCCCACCATGATACAATTATTACTACTGTGGATAACATTGTTGATACCTGTTGTTTAATTTTTTAATTTGTTCTAATTAGTTATACATGAGAGTAGAAAATGCACTTTGATACATTATTTATAGATGGAGTATAATTTCTCATTCTTCTGGTTGTACAGAATGTAGAATCCCACTGGTCATAGAGTTATATATGTGCATAGGATAATAATGTCTGATTCATTCTACTATACTTCCTACCCCAGTGTTGTTTACTTTAATGCTACATCTAGTCATGATTACTTATTGTATTTGCTATTGGCAATTGCTGATTCCAACATTTCTGGGGATGGATTACGGCAATTAACATTGTAGATGTCATAGTAGAAAACAGGTGTTTATTTTAATTCTGTATATTTTTTATATCGGTTGTTGAAATTATTTGTTTCACACTATTCTGTGAAGTGCTGGGAACTTACAAGGTTGAGCTGCAAGCTCAAACTCTGTTGTTGAAATACACTCATCCAAAATACAGTGTACCTTGCTCCACATACAAATTAATGACGATCTTCAATATATATTTATACAAACTATAGAAGAGACAAACTCAAACTAAAAACCAGGCCCCAAGTATAAATGACTAGAGTGAGCCGCCAGGTCCCACCTATGAACATCCACTGCTACAAAAAAAAAAAAAAAAAGAATTAACAAACACTGTGGATACCACACTTATTCAGGGGTTCTCAATCTAGATCACTCTAGGACACTTCAGCAAGTAAAGACTGTGCCCTAAAAGGGCCCACATATATGAGCAAATGAGAAATCCTTTTCAACCAATGCATAAAATCCAACACAGGGATACAAGAAAACAAACTAACATGACATCTAAAGTTGATAATTCACCAGCCACTGACCCCCAAAATATTGAACTTAATGAAATAGCAGATAAAAATTTCAAAAAATATAGAAAAATTATAAATGAATGAATGGATAAAGAAAATGTGATACACACACACACAGTGGAATATTATTCCGCATTAAAAGAGATTAAAATCATGGCATTTGCAAGTAAATGGATGGAATTGGAAAACATAATGCTAAGTAAGCCAATCTCAAAAAAACAAAGGCTGAATGTTTTCTCTGATATAAGGATGCAGATTCATAATGGGGCTGGAGGGGGAGCATGGAGGAATAGACAAAGTTTAGATAGGGCAGAGGGAAGGGAGGGCATATGAGGGTAGTAAAGATGGTGGAATGAGATGGACATCATTACTCTAAGTACATGTATGATGTGTATGGTGTGATGCTACTTTCTGTACTACCAGAGACATGAAAAATTGTGCTCTATTTGTGTGATATGAATCAAATTGCATCATTCTGTCATATATTTAAAAAA